AAACAAGGTCATATCTCCGAAACAAAAATCACAGAAACTTGAAATTTTCAGTGGACATCAAGAAAGGATAGAGGAGCAGCTATACGAAAAATCAGCCTTCTAGCTCTAAAAATGTTGAGTGCAGAGCAGAAAGACTACCTGGGGGGGGGGGGGTGGCAACCACCACCCCCCCCCCATGTGCGGGCGAGGGTTAAACTATTTCACAAAATCAAGCACCATGCGCCCCGCTATCTATTAGACGTTATCCCCGGCACAAGATACCTACGAACAAACTCAGCGTGACCTCAGGAACACTCGAAGCATAAGTGCACCATTCAATCGCTTATCTTCCTTCAAAAACTCATTTTTTCCTTCGACCATTAAAAGATGGAATCGACCATCAGAACAAACCAAATCAATCAGAAATGCTATTGAATTTAAACAAACCTTAGAGAAGATGTATGGGGTAGCGAAACCTTTGTTTTATTATAGCTTGGGAACTAAGGGAGATAACATTTTGCACACTCGCCTCAGGCTTGGTATGTCCAGCTTAAACTCTCATTTGTTTCAAATAAATTCATCTTTGGTAGATTCACCATATTGCAAATGCAATTCCCTCACAGAATCAGTACACCATTATTTCTTGTCTTGTCCGCAGTACGCACAAAAAAAGGGAAGAGCTTGAAGCATCGTTAAGACATTTAATAAATAATTACCATGCTTAACTCAAAAGATAAATTAACTATTATACTTCATGGTCCTGGAAAAACAGTAGCCTGTGTGTGGCTGTGGCTGCTTCGGTACAAAAGTATATCAGGGAAACCAAGCGCTTTGAGTCTTAAATATGAGATACTGTAAAGAAATATGATTTGTTAAAGGTAGGAAAGCCACGGAAAAGTGATGTGTGATGTGGGGTGTTTGTTGTCAGTTATCATGGACCAGTGTGAATGATGTACCTCGACTTAAGCTCGTAAGTGCTTTTGTACTAATTCATACATGCGTCTGGATGTTCAAAATACATACATAGTGCTGGGCATAGCAAAATTTATTGATGAGTAAATGGGCGAAATGGACAAAGCTATATTATTTGGTATATGAATTTATCATGAGTTCCCTGCAGTATGGCAACAGAGCAGCAATAAAGAAAAAGTGGCCCAACTTACACGACTATACCCTACTTCTAACATACGTACTTTATACACTACGTACTTTGGCATACGAACCGTACGTACTTTTGGCATACGTACTTTTTACACTACGTACTTTTGCATACGAGTTTTTGCGTACGAACATTTGCGTACGTACTTTTGGCATACGTACTTTATACACTACGTACTTTTGCATACGTACTTTTGCGTACGAACATTTGCGTACGTACTTTTGGCATAGGTACTTTATACACTACGTACTTTTGCATACGAACTTTTGCGTACGAACATTTGCGTACGTACTTTTGGCATACGTACATTTTACACTACGTACTTTTGCATACGTACTTTTGCGTACGAACATTTGCGTACGTACTTTTGGCATACGTACTTTATGCACTACGTACTTTTTCATACGTACTTTTGCGTACGAACATTTGCGTACGTACTTTTGACATACGTACTTTATACACTACGTACTTTTGCATACGTACTTTTGCGTACGAACATTTGCGTACGTACTTTTGGCATACGAACTTTAACGCCTACGTATATTTGCGTACGAACATTTGCATACGTACTTTTGTCCTACGTACTTTAGCGATACGTACTTTAGTCATCCTCAGGCTGTTGCCATCCTTCTCCTCCCACGCCTCAACCCCTACCCTGGGCTGGACGGGCAACTACAGGCATTGGTCAACTTAACCCTACCCTGAAGCTCCCATAGGATAGGAGCACGCCCGTAGCCGCGTGCAATGAGTGTAAATGGGGCTGGGTGGCCTGTCCACTGGACGGGCTCAGTCCCGACGATTCACTAGGGGGCTCGTCCAGACCAATGTCTCCCCTAATTCCTACCAGTATCATCATTCCGGTATCATCATACCGGTATCATCATTCCAGCTCTGAAACAGGGACGTAGCCAAAGGGGCCACGGGGACCATAACTCCCCTCCCTGAAGGCGAAAAATAAAATAAAATGAAGTAAAAATAAAATAAGTAAAAACAGCTGCAGCACACCCCCAAAAATAGTGGGCCAAATCCGAGGATTTTTCCTTTTTTGGAGGGAGTACGACACTAGGCCGCGATATGTGGCCCGTTCCTGAGCAAAATCCTAGTTTGGTGGCTGCTCGGAAATAGTGTGGTTACTGGTCAGATCAAAAGAAAAAAACGTTAGGGGTAGAAACCCTTTCTTTGAAGCTCAGATCTGCGTTGGCGATGGTGAACTTCATCTCACTCTCCCGCTCCGAGCAATCGTTCGGAACACAATGTCGCCAGTCGCCACGTCTCGTCTGGGCGAGTATGGTGTATTGCGGTGCAGCCTACCTCTGCAGAGACTAGAGAGTTATAGGCCTGAGGAGTGCGGACTTTGGAGGAAAGTCAGCCTGTAGTGCACTGGCGAAACCGGCAACCTAACAAGCGTCAATTTTCAGTGATATGCCCATTGCCCAAGCTATTAGGATTGGAAACTGAAAAGTGGGACTGATTCTACTTACAATTTTCTACCGATGTTCGTTGCAGTGCATATTGCCCAATGCACAAGCACATGGTGCTACGAGAAATAAGCGATAGAATTGCAAAAAAAAAAATGTATTCGGTATAACTATGTTTTCGATAATATATGTATGTTGAATATGCTCACTATTGCAGCGATCGACAACACAAATGAAAAAACCCATGGCTCAGCACGCCAACACATATAATCATCTGTATATGTATTTAGTTTCCTGAGGACTACGGCCTAGATGGGGGAAATGGGAAGAGCTTGTTGCACTTCCCACTTTTAGTAATAGTTCAGTCTTAACTATGTGGCGCTGTTAATAAATATTGTAATATTCTCCATTGTTCGTGCGCTACAGTCGTGGCACTTCAGGAGCGTCCCCTTCCAATCACGCGCGGCGGATACTTTGGATCGTCCCTCGCCCGCGGTGCGCGGCGGTGGAATACAAAACAGCGTTGGACGATAGGGTCCCCGCAGCGGCCGTGGACGCCGATGCCCACCACCCGCCTGTCCTTGACCCAGATGACCGCGTCAGGATCGGTTGACTTCTCCTGGCTATAGAGAAGGCCCGCCACAGACGGGATGCCACCCTCGCACACGGGACAAACGGCAGTAAACGTATGGACAATGTGATGGATAATCTGGACAATGTGCACTAAGCAGGGCAGAGTGAAGGAATCGACGCAATCGACGAATCGCTGCAATCGACGAACGTTACGATCACTCTTTATGCAGCTTTTCTTTTTTGCCCTTTGTAACGTACTTCGTTGGTGTTTTGAGTGAAACAGACATATTCTTAACTAAATATTTTATTTGAGGGCTCGTGTTATGCTCCTAAAATTGGTATTTGTTCATCAACATTCGCATCTTGCCTCATGTCTGTTCTATGAAGATGCTTTCGTGCAATAACGTGCGGCAATAACGTTTATCTCTTCTCGCAGAATAACCACTGTCGATCACTCGCAATACGTGCAAACTACAAATCGTGATGTACGGCCCTCCAGGTATTTAGTGGTTGGTTGCCAACATTACAATAATCGATCTGCATTGATGTATACGTATAATGGCTGTTGAAAACCATTGCTGAAGTGTGTGCACGAACCCTCTTCTCATTTCTATTGAGTCATTTCACAGAGGTGTCCCAGTCATTTAAAGTTATTACACCAAAAGCACATAGGCTAACCAACCACTCTTTTGCTGGAGGGCCGTACCTAGTTAGCCTCTCCTCACATCTGAGCCGTTTAGACAGCAGCCTCAAACTTTTGATAGTGTCTTACTCTTGACCGGTCTTGACGGAATAACTTTTTATGATTCTGAAGCACATCACCAACAACATTGTCATAAGGCTTCTACAAAAGACTAAATACAATGAGGATGTTATCCAGTACCTACAGGACGGAGATTCATCCTTCAGTGACAGGGGGCTTGCATTGCTGGCGGCGGCTGGGATCAGTGGCGTACCCAGGAATTTGCGAAGGACCAGGGCATTGGACGAGAGGGCGCCAATCAAGGAGGGCGCCAACAACAAGGAGGGGCGAGGGCGCCACATATCTGAAACTTGAATGTGTCACTTTATGTTCGTACGCGTGCGGAACGAACATAACTGACATACTGGACAGAGGGGCGCCACCCACCATCATCTAGGAGCGCGACGCTATCGATTGGAGGGGCGCCAATACTGGACAAAGGGGCGCCACCGGCCCACCATATCGTCTAGGAGGGCGCCACTATCACCAGAGGAGCGCCAATACTGGACAGAGGGGCTTCGCCATCAACTAGAAGCGCGCCGCTATCGACTGGAGGAGCGCCAACACTGGACAGAGGGGCGCCAGTCACTGAGGGCGCCGGGGACGATGAGCCAAAGGGACAGGGCATGCACGGAATGTCCTGTATGTGCGTACGCCACTGGCTGGGATGCCCGCTAACAAATTTACAGCCCGCCTGTCGATAAGTATCTCCTTGTAATGTGCTGAGGACGCTCAGACCCAGCTCCTAATCGCATGCTCAGCACTGAATATTCATCGTGTGTTTGCGTCATTGAATGTGTATCATTGTGTTAGCGAGCAGCTGAGGATCTGATTGAATGCGATGTCGTTAGCTAGGAGCGTCGCTATCCGTCCGAACAGATAAGGTCTTGGTTGGCAGACGGATCTCTAGCCGCCGCCCTAGAGCGAACAGAGTTAGCTCATACGACATCAAACAATTACGCCGCCCCGAAATCGGCCCCAGCTCTCTGGATAAAAGGATGTGCTGGCAGATACAAAATCAGTCACATGAGCGACACACATTATGTGCGCGTCGCCCCATCAGAGTGGCGAGGGGCACAAGGACAGGTGCCGAGTCGCGCAGGATAGATGAGAGTGTTCAGAAGCCGCAATGGCAGGCGGGGATCTCCGAGTGGGTGCAAGGGGCCCTCCTCTTCTCTGGCTGATAGAGTTCTGCACGGCTGCAATTTTCCACAGCCTAGCCGCCCCGCAGCCGTGGCTCCACAGCCACAGCCGCCCACAGCCGTGGTAAACTGTGGGCAGCCAGCCGTCAGCCGGCCGTGGATACTTTCAATGAAATGCAACCAAATAGTATATAATAAGTTGTTTTTAGTTGAAACATATAGCCAAAAGCACATTGCAATGGGCTATAGATTCTCAAGCTCATGAAGCATCATAGGTTAAGTGGTTGTGTATCTGCAGCTTTAGGCCGAAGGCCTGAAGCCTGATGCGCAATGCATGCCTACACAAGCCCGTGCAAGGGGTTAAGAAAGATGGGTAGGTAGGTACCTACATCAACAGAAAACATAAACAACGAACCAGAATAGAAGCACTAGCAGTGTAGACATCTAACGCCAAATCCTGAAGCATGGTTGTGGGAGTTGGGACAGAACAATAGACCCTGATGTTTTTCATGATCAATGTTAGGTATGGAAAATTAAACTGAAGTTGATGGACTGTCAAACAGTGATTGTCTAGTCAAAACTCTTGCTTCTTTCTTACCTTGCATATTTTCTGGGGTGTGATATGCCAGGCTTGAAGCAGCCTTCTGAGCAAGTCTCAAACTAATTTGATATGCAATGCACCAAAACACTAGTAAGCTGACCATCCAAGAAAGAAAAACATTCATCTATTTTGATTTTTTCCAAATAATGATCTTCGCTCAAATCCCCAAGGACGTGCGAGCCACAATTGCCTCTTTCAATCAAAAATTTCACTTGAGTTTTTAATGACGTCAATAGCAAAGAAGTGGCAATAAATTGTTTTGTATCACTATAAACAGCCATAAAAATTATAATTAATAAATAATAATGCTATACAGTTTAAAACTTGCTCTCAAACAAAGATTAAGTATCAAATTTTTGCATTTTCAGAAGAATACGTCATTTTATTAGTAAAGTCAACAGCTCGCGTAAGAAATATTGTGTTCAGGGTTTTCACCGTCATGTGAATTACTGGTGTTCAGGGTTTTCACCATCATGTGAATTAACCGTAAGTAAGGTTCATGCTCACTTATAATCTAGTTCCATTGGCTTCGTTGATCAGCATTTTCTGTTAGCGGTCACTCACACACCAGTTAGAACATAAAGCGCCAGTTTTATATTATGTAATTGGACTTGCCGAAAATCCAGAAATACACCTAAGAGTTATTTTAGATAATATTTTATGAAGCCTTTACCTGCCTTTACCTAGGTGTGATTTCTTTTTCTATTACCTGAAAGAATTATTGAACGCTCGTCTTCAATAGCTGTAAGGTGCTCTCTTAATGACCAGGTGAGATTGATTTGAGAGGGATGTGACAATGCAACATGTTGCATTTTCTGAAACTGTCAAGCTCTTAATGATGAAGGAACAATTGGTACCTATAATTAGTATTCTGTACCAGAGTGCAAACTCCCCTACAGCAAATAATAAAACCATTACAGGTATTCAAAGGCTTCACCACTTTCAATGTTGCTGGGCATCCTTTGCATGATTTTTACAGGCTAGAATGCTTATCAGAATGTAAGATTAAGGATTTAAAATTTTATATTTGAGTACTTAAGATTGAGCTTGAAATCTCACAGCCGTGGCCACAGCCATAGCCGTGTTCTTGGAGATATTTGCAGCCGCCCCGGCCCACAACCGTGGGGCCGGTGCAGACCTCTACTGGCTGAGCTTATACAGGCCCCTCCATACAAATTATAGCGTTTCACATCCCCAACCGTTCATGTTCAAATGTATTAACTTTAACCCGCGCACCGACGGGGGTCTGCGCCAACTTCGCACCGACGGGGGGGGGGGGGCGGATGACCGCCCCCCCCCCACTGAGATCTCGAGAGCGAAGCAAGATAGCGACAAGCGGTAAACGGCATCGGATACGCACGGACAAGGTCTACAATTTTTACTAAGGTCATTTTCAGGTCAGGTCAAAGATGACGTCACAGGGGTCAAAAAAGTCAAAATGGCGGCGCTAGGTATAGGGAGAGTTTTTTTTTCGAATAACTTTCGAACTAGTCAATATAGGAACAAACTAAGGGCATCATCGTGATCCTCTCGTCAATCCGCATCGAATGATATATATGTTGACCTCGAAAGGTCAAGGTCAAAGGTTGACCTCAGGTCACGTGACCTCGAGGTCATCATGTATATCATTCGATGTGCCTTGACGAGCTGAACACAATGAGACCATCCGCGCGGCTGTATCTTGTTCCTGTACGGAGTTATTGTCAAAAAACCGCTGGTGACCTTTGATTACGTCACATGACCTTACAGCTGCCCAACAGCAAAACAGACCTCAAGGTAGTGAAGGTTGACCGTATATGAAGTCATGTATGGTATATGGGGCCATTCCGACCCGTTTTAGTGGTAAAAACAGGGAGTTGATTTTCCCCCATTGACTTATAATGGGGAGGTCGCGAAATTGACCTGACCTTAGGTCACCGACATCAAAATTCCGAGATATACAAATTGTAGCTACTAATGACCTTATAACATCCTGCGACTTTCAAAGGCCTCCGACATCTACTGTAGCTCTGGCACGGTGACAAAGTTGCAAAAAAGTGACTTGAGGTTGGGTCATTCAAAGTGACCTGGTGACCTGACCTTAAAAGTTAGGAGGTTCAAACTTGCATACCATGTGTAAAATTGATGAGGGAATAGTCGTACCAAATTTCGCGGCGCTACGCGCCGCGGTTTTCCCGCTATCCGCGAAAAACCTCAGGGGGCGGATATCCGCCCCCACGTCGGTGCGCGGGTTAATTCATTATCAGCTTGGGTTGCGCGGTTGCTTATGTACCTGATTTTTCATATTATCAAGCGTTATTTTCGATATATAACATTATTTTCGATATAAACATTATTTGTTCAAGTCAGATAATTTCATAATATGAATATCTTTGTTGTGAAGGAGACTTGGTGCAAAACAATTTCACGTTTGGTGCATTCGTCAGCTAACTTGTAAAAACGGCTATTATGTTCAGTTTTAGATTCAATATCGTATCTAAATCATGAAAAACTTTCTTGCGAAAACGACTTCGCCAGTAAAGTGTCCTATGGCTCCTTTCCCCTTACCAATCGACGGCTGGAGCCACTTAACCCTCGCCCGTATTGGTGTTTTTCCAGCCACGAACGTGTAAGGGGGAGGGGGGGGGTCCGTTGGACCCCCCCCCTTGTCGTTTCGCCCCTGATCGAGCTAGAGCTTCGCGGAAAAAACGAGCGTGTTGCCCGCGACGAGAGGAAGCCGATGATACCCAATTTTAAGGTCATAAGTTATCGGTTGACCTTCCAGGTCAGGTCAATGACCCAAAAGTCGGAAAAATCGGGACCTGTTAGAACGTCGTAAGACGTGGCTGCTATGTTTTTTTTGGGGGGGTGCTGATCACGAACATCATGTTAGTTATGATCATTGATGATGTCTTCATGCATTAAGGCCAGGTCGGGTCAGGTCAGGTCAGGTCAACCAGTAAGGATTTTGCCGGGTATTCGTAGTAGCCTCTGACAGCTTCGTAACATATTACGAAGGCACCAAAACTGCTTCGTAAATGTTCAAATGGTTGCTAAATTCGAATTCAGCTCCAATAACTAGCCTAGAAACATGTAAAACTCGAAAAAAAAATGAACCGAGGTCATCAAAGGTCAGTGACCTGACCTGACCTTCCGGTGACCTCGACATCCACCCTAATGCATGGGAGTAACATCATATCCCATGTTTGAACGCTTGAAACCACGAAAAGACTGCTAACGCGCGGCTAATGCGAGCCGACATATGTACGCAAAATCGCGATTCCGGCCAAACATGGTCTCGAAAAGTAGGTCACAGGTCAAAGGTCGTTAGGGTCAGGGTCATGAAATTTTCAGGGTAGGTGTACAATAGATTAACGCGAGGGTACTAAAAGTTTCGTCGCGATCGGCCGCTTTTTACGTGAGTTATTTGCGAAAAACAGAGGGGGGGGTCCGTTCGACCCCCCTCCCCCTTATACAAGCGAGGGTTAAAGCGTCTCCGGGTTTTGGTAGTGTTATGTAGGGAGTAACTGTTCACGTGTCGGCAAGACAGGAAATGGCTGGGCTGCTTACTTGCTAACAGAATTCTTCAACACTTTAACGACTTTTTGGAATGCACATCAGCCATGGATCACCTCCAAAAAGTCGACCTGTAAGTACCCACCATCGCATGTCTTCGAACTCAATAGCTTCAAGTTGCAGAAAACTGCCATCTAGTCCGTGCAAGTGCAGTTTAGAGGCAGCACAGCGCTATCGGGACCCGTTTGCTGCATATCTGCACTCTGCAGGCTTTGAGAGCTGTGGCAGCCTCCGCCCATCGCACGACAGCTCAAGGTCGCAGCTCGCATCGCATCTTCCCGGGAAGTAGCCGAGAAGCTGACGGATGTCGACCTTCCTGCTAGGTCAGGGTGCCGTCACCAGGTCTGCTCCTCACCGATCCTTGTCGGCTCTTTCCCCACGGCCAGTCGATCTGTCAGCCCGGCCTCCACCGTCAGTTCTGTCCCGCCTTGATTACCGATCCCCTTCCCCGTCATCCCCCTTCCCACTGTCTCCCACTGTCCCCATCCTACCAGCTCCCCCTCCCCCGGTGGTTTCAGCCGATCCAGGTAGCTCCGTCCGATACCTGTCAACTGCGTCCAACTTGTTACTCAACTCCTGTCAGTCCCATCAGCTGCTGACATCACAGATCGCTTTATGCGCAATGTTTTGAAACAACATAATGTGCAATAGTTTCATCAGTTATCGTATTGAGTTGAGGTTTGAGTATTGAATGCACTATAGGTACACGTATTTGTATATGATTTAACAAGTACACCAGTCGACGAGATTCTGCCTTCGATTGCTCGTGGTGCAATCGTTGCACAATGCACATCGCTACTCCTCTGTTCTAAAAGCATCCTTGTCCGGTCCACCGACCCAGTCGCATAACAATGTCCTCTCGCACGGGCCGGCTAGATGACACTCATTAATTACCGGCTGTTTACGAGCTCTGTTTACCGAGTGGGCTGTGCAGACTGGTCTGTAACGCCACCCGGCCCAGTGCGTGCCACGATGGTGTCTATTTAACACCGTGACAGCACGCACACTGCTCAGTGCAGTGCGCGATACACAACACAACACAACGCAGTAGTGCAGTGCAGTGCAAGGGATGTCTGCAAAAGTGAGTTGTGGGTGGCTGGGAGAGATGAGGAAGCTGCGTGATTACTGATTTCTTACTACTTTGACAATCTATGTTTGATTTGTCGTGTCCACGATCTGCCCCTGATTGGTATATATGTATATTCATAAGCTGTCTAATTGCAACCTAAAACTGGGTTGTTGAACTTTGTTCATAATCTTCTGTACGGCATTGCTCGTTTCTTTTTTACCTGACATAGCTCCGTGCCGGTTGGACTCAATATCCCTCCATCTAACAACGAGGGATCTTGGTTGTTACATACATCGTTCCATCTAAACATAGAGCTATGTTTGTTTCAAGGTCATGCCAATCAGTGCAAATGCTTTTGTTCAACTGCAACGCAACGTAACAGTTGAATAGCAATCGTACATGTGTCAAAATTATGTAGATGAAGTTATAACTTATATCTTATCGGAGAAGTGAAGTGTTTGAAATTGAAAGTTTGCGGTCTGTCCCAGATAATTGCATTATTTTCATTTGTTCCTAGGCAAAACTTGTAAAAAGTTAAAGGGCACATTGTATTTCCTGTTTCAATAACAGGTTCAGCGTATTCAAATTGTGAATGAATGAATCTATAGTGAATGAATTCGAGTCGTGTTCTTGTGTTGTGCTTCTAATAGGATATTGAAGTTTCGTGACAATCTATCAGGCTTCAAAGCAGTTGCCAGTCCTTATGGGTACTAAGCCAGCTTTAACCGTGGCTAATCGAATTAACATTGATCAAGCGATTGGATGTGTTCGCCATTAACGAATGCGTTTTCGATAACATCTCAAAAAGCACCACAGACCTCGTCGCGTATACAGCTCATTGATAAATTCCGAGGCTGAATTAGTTAGCCTCTGCTGTATATATTTAGAGTACTAGTGACCTTACTTAGAAGTCCGGGCGATTGAAAAGGTCAGCCTAATGCTGTTATCGTGCTACAACCATTTCATGGATATGCATGATGCGCCTATAATGTTTGCACATGTAGATGCTCCCCTGGCTATCAGGAAAAGGTGTTCACCATTTGAAGCCATGTACTACAGTTTACAAGGTAGACTGCCTTTGATTTCCTGTCATCGATAAATCCGTTACTTCATTTCAAATGCTTCGTTTCATCCCACTAAAATTTTGCTAACATTTAACATAGGTAAGAGCGAAACCTCTGTAAGTTCGAGCTACGAGTAGGTATTTGACCTGGAACGGTGATATTTCAATCACGCGAAGCACCAAAAACTGCAGCTGATACCGAATACCGAATTCTGACGTCTCTGTTCATTGTTTCAGTTGCTGGTGGTTTTCCTGGTGAGCGCAGTCTCTGCCCTGCATGAGAAACATGGCAATGACGAGCCTCCGGTCAGCGGCTACTCGCTGCCCAGCCCGGCCGCCTCCGGACCCGCGGCCAGGGCGCTGACGTCACCCAAGGTAGGAGAGAGTGACGCCATGTGACGTCATAACGACCCGAGGTGCAGTTTGACCACGGCGATTCTTACCGGGGGGGGGGGTCAACACCTGGTCATATTTAATTGAACTTCGTGGATTTTTAAACGAGCGCATCTTTAACTTTTGTCGTAAATTTCGTATTCGCATAGTAAACTTTGTTTTTGCAACAGCCCTTGAGTCCTTTTCATGTCAATGTCTGAATGCATGACCAAAACGGGTTTTCCTACGGAACTCGACAATTTTCTTAAGAGATTCAGCCATAAATTGTGATCTGCGGGCTATCACTGCTCTGGCGTGCACGAGTCAGAACCGGACATCACGAGTACTGGATAGCTCGCCAAATTCATAGTCTCCACCTGCCCTCCTTGCAGTCTCCATACCCAGCGCCCTGGATCCTTCCCCATTTCTTCAGACCAAGGCTGTTTATCGTACCAACGCATCTGACAATCGTTCCTGTCATCTTCTGATACCACGGACGAGGTCTCCTGCCGCTATGCATGTCACGAGGCCGGTCCGATGGGGTCTTGCACAGTTTCCAAATATGACGGCCGACATTTGATCGATCCTGACGGCCGCGGTGACCACTAATGCTCCACAGGACCGTAAATCATGGCGCCCCGGCGTCTCTCATGGTCGCAACAGCGAGAGGCGGCTCCCTGTGCAGAGAACGTGGCCACGGATGACGCGATGCGATACAAATGCGCCTGTGCAGCAGTATCGATGTGGAGATTCGCAGTCGATGTATGGCCGGGTCACGGTGTTGATAGGGAAATCAGTAGTCAATTTATGCCGATATGCACTGTAGAGGACTGATCGGCGCTAACATTTTATCAGCATCCACTTTTCTGAAAACAAACCGGTCGGTTCATGAGAAAATTTCTCCCTTTGCCAGCTTTTGCAAATGGTTATATATATTTTTTATATTCGATTGTTATGTATTATGTACTTTGTAGCCTTTATAGAAAAGCCTATACGCTTTGGAAATGTATTAGAGAACAAAGTTCATAAGGTTTTGCAACAAAACAGCTTTTGCAATTTACAAATATAAATTTTGAGTCATTCCTGTCCCCTTCCAATATCCATCGAAGGTTTGCTCGCGGATGCCTATCTAAAAATACCGCGGTATACAGACTCACAGTAGCACACAGTCACGTCCTAGCGTTCTCAGTCAACATTCTGCAGTTTTCTTCAATACAAGGATAGTCCTGATGAGTCTTGACTGAAAAGAGATCCTTACGTAGTGAGAGACAAGGCCCATTTACATGGCGCTGCCAAATGTCCCAGTGCTATCCTCCCATCAGGGCGGTGGATCTGTCCTTCTCAGTGAACAACTTCCTGAAGGGTTACCGGACACCTGTCCCGCAGAATCACCGGTCCTGAATAGTCATGGGCTCCAAGGACCACCGGGCAGTCGATACGCTAAGCTGTATGTCGGAACTGGGGACGACCCCGGGTCACCGGTGGTACCCTGTTCATCAGCCATCAGCCTGGGTCGGAGGTCGCCGCACCCAGTCGACGACATGGGGTCGACACGGGCGCTGAGGAGCCGCCCCCCGCGGCGGCCGTCGGTCCGCGAGGCGCTGCTCCCGGATCCGCCGCCGCCCCCTGTCCGGAGACGTTCTAATCCGGAGCCGCCGCCTGTCGCTCCGAAGGTCCCGGTGGGGCGCCGGTCATCTATCGGGCTTGTCGCGGGTGTCACAGTCGACAGCGCGGCCGGCGAGCGCCGCCCTCCGCCCCTGCATCTGTCGGCCGGGCGCCGGACCGACGGTATGGCATGCGGTGGACACTACACAGCTGAGGACTGGACGGAGGGGTACGGTACGGCACGACACGGGACGGCCACTGGAATGATGGAACGGCACGGTACGGCCACCGAACCGTTTGAACGGGGAGCACGACCATCTTTGGATAGGCGTCAAAATCAGGTTTACTGGCTTTGATCCTAATTACCGGCATTTCTAAGTAATTTTCTCGTACAATTGTTATCTTGTGTAACCAATTTGCGCTATCTTATCCCCTATGGATTCGGCACAGTACTCATCCGCTCCCCAACTAATTTTATGTCAAATTGCTCATAGTTCATTCATCTACCATCAGCTATAGGGTCGAGCCACGAGCCGCTGGTCCTTGGCACGTCGCACGTGAGCCCGTGTCCAGGCGATAATACCTATACATAACTGTTCGTCTATTTATGGATACGTTTGACTTGTGCGGCGATCAGCATCACTAAGAGCGCCGTCCGACGAAGGAGCTCAGCTGGACTCCCGAAAATAGTCGACACCCGATGACCCGCGCAGCGATGACCGTAAACTAGCCGTCCTCGGCCTCTGCCCGGTCGTCTGACATCGCGAGTAGCGTTTGTCTACATACAGTGCAGTGGTTCGTAGCGTAGACCATGGATTCACCTTTTGGCTTTTACCGACCCGTTGAGCCGAGAGCACGGAGTAGCAACTTTGCACTTTCCTAGCTTGCAATAGGGGCTGATGTTTTATTTATCGCCGCCTTTTGGGCTACATCACGCCTGTCTGGAGTGAGGGAGTGGAGCAATGGGAGGATTTGTGTGACATCAGGACGCTGCTGACTGGCTCTCTGTTCACTTAGTGGCCATTTGATGTACCCAAATTGCAAATGCCGATCATGGTTGGTGGGTGCCTTGTTGAGTTACGCCAGAAGTCGGCCCGATAGTATACGATCGCCGATTTAGCTGTACCAGTTGCTGCAAGGTAAATACAAATAGCATCCTACAATTAACAACTGTATGCATAGTGAATGCCTAAGCATTTCTCTTTCATTTTTGTTGTCTCATTCAAAGCTTTCAAAATCTTTTCCTTACTCCTGAGCCTGACATCACAGGAACTCAAAGTAACGGGACCAATGCAAACTGCAAAGTATTCTTTGTTGAGAGGTGATGTGATACATCAGAGGCGAGCAGCATGTCGTGTCTGCCAAGGCCTTCTCGATGTTGCAGTATTGGTCCCAGCGTTTGGCCAGTCGCAGCCTGTCTCTAATCCCCTGCTGCACACTGCGTCAGGCGCGTCTGGGCTCCATCGCCCCACTCACCCTTCGGTTTCAGTTCGTCTGCCAGTGCTCAACCCTGCACCCGACCTCTCCTCAGCCGCTTCCCCAGCGTCTGCGCTATATTCAATTTGTTTTCTCCAGGCCAGACTTCCCGGCATGTACACCAGCTTTGCAAGCTTCTTTATCTGCTTCTGCCCGAGGACCTGTCTGGGCTTTCCAGTTTTTGTCATTGGGCTTCTGCTGCAGCCGCGTCGCAGTTGTTGTCCCATGGCCGCTGTCGCAGCCTGGAAGCTTACGCGACTCTCTTTCAAGATCCTCCCGTTCTTTCCAGCCTCTTATGCTTCCCGACTTCCTCGGTCTGCAAACCTCTGCATTATGCAGTCTACATCCCAGACTCTTCCCCAGGCTCTGTCCTACCTTTCAACCTCTTGTCTCATCCTCTGCCTCAATCCCTCTCCCAGCCTCTGCCCTGGCCCGACAGCCGCTGTCCAATTTTCCCACCCTCTCTCCCAGCTGTCCAGCCTCCAGTCGCCAGCCTCCCATCTCCTCCTGCACTCTCTCCCATCTCCCAGGCTCTCTCTCTCTCTCTCTCTCTCTCTCTCTCTCTCTCTCTCTCTCTCTCTCTCTCTCTCTCTCTCTCTCTGTAGTCAGACGGTGATCATTGGCGTGCGGTAAGACGGATTGATGCGACAGCTGCGCCGCTGCGAGCGTTCAGCATGCAGACGCTGAATGGCCACGCGCTGTGGCTGTGTGCCCGTAGTGACGTCATATAGTGACCGGACAGCCGGGCCGCGTGGGTGTGGGTCCCACGCTGGTCAGTGAAGAGCACCTGGGAAGATGTGGGTGGAAGATGAGCGCCTTGGGTCAAGGACAGGTGTACTATTGGGCTGTTGGTCGTCTACGGGCTATTTGGCTATTGGCTATTCAGAAGCATGGGTGGAGAAAGTGACATGGGATGTATTTTGCAGTGAGCAAGGCGGTTGAAATGACTCTTAGGCTCGGGTACATGGCTGGTCGCCAAAACAGGGATAGTTGTGCCATTCAAAATGTTGACGAGGCACAGCAATCATTCGTATATCACACAACTTCCTTTATCTCAATATTTGATATAGGCAACCGGAATGTCTCTTTGGTCAAAGAACATGAGAGTGGGGGTCGCTAGACTTGTTTCTCTGATTTCATACACTCGATTGCAATATCATTTCTTGTGTTACACATCAAATTCACCTCACGACAGCTTTGACTGACGTATGTAAATGTGGATAGTAATTGGCTGGCATAGGGTCTCCTCAGCTATATAACAAGTAAAGTGATGGGACTAGGCAACAAATGTGTTGCGATGACGATTGATCACCGGGCATCATTCCCTCCGGTACTGAGAAATAAATTGTTCAAACTTTTGTTTGGCCGTTAAAAATTATAACTTCCTTGTTTTTAAGAGGATAAAATCAAGTTCAACTTAAACTGCATAAGTCTCTTCCCAGTCCATTACGACCGTTCCCATCCCGAGCACCCGGCCGACCCGTCCGAGTCGCCGCTGGTCCCTGGATCCGGGATCCGGATGCCCCCCGCCAGCAGCTGTCAAGGTCGGCCGCTGACGACAAGCGGAACGCGCTGTAGTAAAACGAATGTGGCGGCGACGCAGTCATATAGAATTATGGCCCATAATAGAGCCCCAAGTAGTTTCATGGCTAACAGCCCCAAAGAAATACCCGGCACCATATCGGTTTGATGATGTCGCGTTGCAAAGAGATATAATATGACTTAGGTGTAGCCGCTGTCTGCAAAGGCTCAGGATGATGCTGACCATTGCATTCAATGGTTAGTGAATGCTTGAGACCTGAATCAACTGAAATGAAATCATGCTACTCACAAATATCAGCAATGCCTAGCTGGAAATGTACCAACATCGGAGTCCACACAAAAGGAAAAAATATGAATATGAATATTGAATGGTGCTGAATGCTGATGCTTATAAGTACATACACAACGTTCTTGGCTGTTTATATTCCATATAGGTACGTCTCCATTGGATATATAAAAGTGTCTAGGTACCTTTAATTCCACCGTAAATTTGCCGGTCAGGAGAGCAAATCTTTCTCAAGAAGCGTTTTGCCGGTGTCTGCACAAACTGATAGATTATTGTAAAATTATTTGTGAGCGTGTACGGTGTGCAAACTGATTTCGCGTCCGTGGAATCATGGCATAGATGAACGGGGATAATACTGACAGAGACTATCAAATAGTATTCTTAGGGTGGAGTAGAGGATTGATTGAACAAACACCGAATGATCATTTGAAATATTTACTCGTGTGAAATATCATGAGCTTCATCATATAAGTTATGACATCCAATAATCACGGTAGAAAGACGTGCATCACTGCATGCAACATCGCATCACTCACTGGCGCCTGAAGTCACCGTTGACATGCGTCTCTCCTTTCACAGGCGACGCCATACCGGTTCGAATATGAGGTAGCCTCTGAGGATACCGGCGACCAGAAGTCGGCCAGTGAGACGCGTTCGGAGGACGGCGTGGTGCGCGGCCAGTACAGCTACGTGGATCCCACCGGGGCACTGCGCACGGTCCGCTACTCGGCCAGCGAGAGCACTGGCTTCGTGGTGGAACAGGAGCTCGTGCCGGGATTCGCTGACCCACCGCCGGTGAGGAGCGCACTCCGGGCTGCCGGTGCAGCGCCGCTGCCGAGGACGATGGCACCAGAGGAGGGACAGAAGCCTGGGTATGGAGAACATGCTGGGAAACAGGAGGAAGAAGTAATTGTAAATGTTGAGGGAGAGCTGAACATTCATGAGGAAAAGGAAAACGAACATATGAAAGAAGATATGGAGCACAAAAGTGAGAAAGATGGAAAGGGAAAAATGGAGGAAGACGCAGAGCAAAAGAGAGCAGAAGCTGAAAAGAAACAGGCACAAGAGAAGCTGAAAGAAGATCAGGAGTTGAACAGAAAGCTGCAGGAGTTGAAACGGCTGCGGGAGGCGGCGAAGGAGCGGGAGAGGCTGCGGCGGCTGTTCGGGGTGGCTCAGCCTCAGCTGGCGGTGCCGGCGCCCCTTGTGGTGGAGAGTCCCACGCTGACCCTCCTGCGGAGCCGACCCGCCTTCGTGCCGCCGGTCCGATCCGCCTTCGCACCTCCGGCTCGGCCTGTCTTCGTACCTCCCGCCGCCGGCGTGCGCATTCGGGGACGGGGCATCAACATCGCCTACTGAGCCTGTGGCAGCGCCTGGCAGACCGTGACTGGGGGACGTGCCTTCAACATCGAAGGCGTGGGGTGGTTTAGGGTAGAACTGGGTTGAGGGCTAGGTTATACTACCTAAAGCTTTCAGAAGATTCGATAGTGTCGCGTTGTAGTGCCTGTCAGCGAGTGCTGCCTAACGAGTGCCTGTCTTAGAAAGTCTATGTCCAGTTAGCTGCAGCCTTCTTCTGAGTAACATAATATTTTATCGGTTGCGGAACGCTGCTAGCCTTAGATGTAATTTTCTATTATTTCTAGCGGATTAGACTGAGCTCAATAGAGTCATAGCGTGACAGGGCACAGCAAACAGTGACCTGGCCGACAAAGCTCAGCAATGTTCTCCGCTCAGCGGATACTGCTGCACCGCTCAAAGGTGACAGGAGAGCCAAGGCCCATGGGATTTCATCGGCCGCTTCACATGTAGCGACTCGGCACAGCGCTTAGAGCCAAAGCCGAGTCAAAGGTGGATGGGTGATTATAGCTCCCTGGTGGGTCTGCCCAGGCGATCCTTAGGCAATCCGTCCTCTCCCCTCAGACACTGGGGAGCGTGGAATAAGCTGAGTTATTTCTAGAGGTGATGCTGCAAGCCGTCACTGTGCTTACAATGGAACAGGTGTCACCCTGTTTGGTAAACGTGTGTTTGCCGACAGTCGCACCGTTCGCCTTTTACACCGTGTAGTAGTCTGCTGAGTTATCCATTTATCTTGGATGCAAACGAACCATGCCTGCTGTGTGCTATATGAGGAGCACAGGTGGCAGTGTGACTAATGTTCATTGATACAAGAAATAAATGATGTAGACATCATGTTTACCACACTTTGTGAATGGAGAAGCCAGCCTACTATTCACATACCAAAGTCACCACTCAGCACAATTCAATCAAGGGGGCGCTTGAATGAGAGTAAAGGCATCGACTTGCAAACAGTTGGTGGTATCAGAAACCGGTCTGGGGCGGCTACTGGCTGGACAGGCCAAGACGTGATGCCTGGAGTGCCAAAGCGGCCCTGTACCGGCTTCGACCATCGTCTGGATGAGTCCGGCGGTGTCACTGTCACTGCCGGGTCATTAGAGATGCGTGCGGCGCGACGGGTGGCGGCCGCACCCCGCCCCTTTCGTCCTGACGTCTGACGGCAGAGGCCAACTGGAGGACAGCAGCGCCAACACTGCATCCGGCTCGGATAGTCCACCTGCAAAGGGACAAGAGCGGAGGGCAACGAACAGAGACAAATGGAAATGGGTAGAGACGGGTAGAGACGGACAGATACGGACGGAGACGAATGGAGCCAGAGAGAGACGGGCAGAGACGGCAGAGACGGCAGAGACGGACGGAGACGAATAGAGACGGACAGAGACGGATAGTGACAGAGACAGACAAAGACGGATAGAGACAGAGAAAGAGTAAAGACAGACAAAAAGGACAAGGAGGGTTGGAGACAGATACATTGATACAGATACAGAAAGAAACATGCAGAGACGTACAGAAACGTACAGAGACGGACAGAGACAGATAGAGACAAGCAGATAAAGACAGAGACAGAAAGAGACGGACAGAGGTAGCTAGATTAATATCGACGGAGACGGAAGAAATGACCAGACAGAAAAAGAGCGTTTTACTATGTGGATGGTGCAGCAAGAACATTTCAAAGCCATTATACACAAAACCTCCTAAACATTGCATTGTAAACAGTGTTGTTTTCATCTTTTTCTCACGTTTTTCTTCAATATCTCCAAAACGACGAGAGATAATGTGCAATCATCTTCTGGCTTTTTCTTGAAGCTAAGCACGGTACATTCCCTGACATTTTCAAGTTAATAACTGCATAGTGCACAAGTGGCGGCTCCAGGGTTTACTTTGGAATCTTTCACCTGAGATCTCTCGTAATGCGAACATATGTAGGAACGTACAGATTCAGTAGTACCTACTTGGTCCTTTTCCTCTTTTTTGGAGCAATTTTGTGGGACCCTAACAACATATTCCTATGACCAGTGGGCCTATATGTATTTGCTATGCAAAGCAAACATTGTCACTTGGACGATCTAAGGCATCTAAAACAGTGCAGTTCTGAGATAGATAGTACGTTGGTTTGAAGTTAATTTTATTTTATTCGTATTTTATACCTTTATTTTATTCGTAAGCATTGCTTCTTTGATAAAATTATAAGTCACGCGCTTGAAAATAAAAGCAAAACTGAATGTGCATCAGCGATTATCTCAGGCGGCCAAAAAGAAAAACGTGGTATTTGTATGTTGTTTTGAATCAATTTATTGCTGTGTTAGGTGTGTTATGAATAGCACTCGGTAATGCAATGAAATTTGCGCCAGTTCTTGCATTGAACTGCAAGAAACATTGCAGAGATGCGATTGCAAGTGTTCAATATTACTGGGCAGTGGGCATAGTCATTGACTATTGATACATACATTTTTGCTCCCCAATTTTTCTTCTTTATTTTAACTTCCTTCCATAAATCCGTCCGCGTTATCTTCCTTGGATGCGCCTATATGGTATTCAAAAGACTTATTGTTTATTGTTTATTGTACTTATTGTGTGTTGCCTCTGTTGCTTGCCTTGCTGCCAGAAATGTTTTTGCAAATATGATTAGAGCAGTGCATCCACCAACTTGCCGCCCTGGTGCTGCTTATACTGTTTTCCCTGAACACTTACCGCCATCGAAGGTACAATTTTGGAGAACGCTGCTTATCTCCATGTTCAATGTGATAGCTTCTTAGGCAGTAGACGGTACATACTTGCCTACACTGCCATTATGTCTGCGCGACTGATTGTATCACCTTAACCAGATTAATTAGCCTGTATTTACAGCGGTCGGTATTTGCATAAGGAGACTGTTGCAGCAGACAACACCCAGCACCGGGCTTAGGGCCGGGCAGTATGGAGATGACCCCCTCGGCCCTGGTCAGCTCGTCTCCCCGAGGATGAGCCCAAACTCCGCCCCCGTCCCCGAGCTCAGCCCGCTCATTGGTCCGTCGACCGTGCATGGTATGGTGCACGTATAAAAACGCTGGCGCATGACCCCCTGCAAGTGCTGCGTCCGGTGCAGCCTCTCGGATCTGGCACCAATTTGGATATCATGCAACAGGTGAGCCAAGTGACCCTTGTCAGACGGCTCAAGTGAACAAGTGACATTGTGCGAAAGCAGCGTGAAGCGTTAGATTCTACCCAGAAAAGCCGTGAGCATGTGAAACATACACATTTTGCTTATCCTCACAAGATATACATTGTCATGAGGGGCATAACCATTGGTTATTGATATATTTTGCTCCTCAATTTTTATTTCTTTAGTTGCTCCGTGTTTTCATAGTTAAGAAAAAGAAAGAACTTTTTCATTAGCTACTTACTAGCATATTATAGCAACTTTTAATCCTCTTCGAACCCATTGGTTCTCTAAATATCGAGGCCGAGGAGAGAGGTTGGTACGATTTCACTTCGCAGTCCCGCCCCCAATAGAGCTAGAGCTTCGCGGAAAAAAAGAGGGTGTGCGCCGTTACGAGAGGCAGCGATCGGTACCCAATTTTAACCCTATTCCTGGCGGGGGGCCTCAGGAGCCCCCCTGAGGTTTTTTGGTTATTTCTCCCAAACGCTTTGAGCTAGGAAGCTCAAATTTTCTGAATTTTTCTAAAAGGCTTTTACGCAACATTTCTGAAAATTTTGAGTTGATCTGACCTCAGGTCAGGTCACCAGAGGCGGTTTGGTGACCCTACCTCAGAAAAGTTTGCAATCACGCCAGAGCTAGAGTTTTTGACCGATCAATTTCTTCTCTTCAGGCTTTAGTTAGGGTACCAGTATGTGCAATTTGTATATCTCAGAATTTTCATATCTGTGACCTGAGGTCAGGCCAGACTCGTGACCTTTACATCGCAAGCCTATGGGAAAATATTGAAACGCCTCCTGCTTCGTGTAAACGAATCAAAACCACCCAATTCTTTCAGTATTATGGAAGATTATCTCATCGGTGATGATCCTGGTGCCGCTAATTGACAGGGGCACCGGCAAAGGTCATCTGAGGTCATGTGACGTCATAAATCGTTTTTCTGTCAATAAATCACGACATGATGGTGCTAAAGACTTGTAAGTGGTACCAAACTGCTCGCCTGGTCAAGGCGCGTCGTTTGGTATGCGGCATGACCATACCCCACAACCTCATTGATGAATGACCTGACCTTGACCTCAGGTCAAATTTCAAATTGACCTGTGAAGGTCATCACATACTTATTTCGCATCGCCTCGGCGAGAGCAACAAAAAATGCATTGGTTACGGAGCGAGCGAAGCGAGCGGAGTCTTACGTAGAATAACGGAAATTTCTGAGTATGAGCGGCCTGCCGGCCGGCCGGCCGGCCGGCCGTGGTCACGCTTTTGCGAGGCTTATATCTCAGCAACCACTTGACCGATTTACATGCGGTAATTTTTGTGGGGTAGCTTCATTCCTTCTACCAAGTATTGGACTATTCCCGATGCATGTGGGTGACCCCTTATGCACGTGCCACGTGCAAAACGAAGAGGTGTCACTTTTGTAATTGTTGCAATATCTCGGTAACTACTTGGCCGATTGCGCTGAAAGTTGGCATAGAGGTAGGCACCCACTAGACACTGCATATCCATGTGCCAGAGTTGGGGTGCTGCTGCACGTGCGCACGTGCAGGGGTCGATTCCAGATCTCGAGAACGGCTGGACCGATGGCGCTCAAATTTGGTACATGGCTAGAGACCGGTTAGTAGGGTGCCGTGCAAAAGTCAGTTGGGACCCATTTTGCACGTGCGCACGTGCAGGGTGCCGCTTCCAGATCTCGAGAACGGCTGGGCCGATTGTGCTCAAATTTGGCACATCGCTAGAGACCGGTTAGTAGGGTGCCGTGCACAAGTCAGCTGGAGGTACCCCTCGAAATTTTGCACGTGCAAGGCTCACCCTCTCGCTCGCTCCGTTAGTCGCCCCAAAAGGCGTTATACTGGTTTTATGTCTCTATGTTTCTTAGTTTAAAAGTTATATAGGTAACTAATTCCAAAACATTTTATCGTTGATGACCTCGGCTGACATCAATATTGACCTGACCTGAAAATGTTTTTATGTAAAAGTTGTAGATCTTTAAACGACCTATCAAACGCCGTTCGCCGTTTGTCGCTGCGATGTGTAGTTTTTGAGATCTGAAGGGGGGCCGAATCGACCCCCCCCCCCGCCAGTTTCTTGTCCCGGCGGAGCCCGCCAGGA